TGGAGGGATTATATCTCTTCGCTGGCCTGGGAGCGCCTTGGGATCCCCCAGTCAGAGCTGGTTGATGTGGCGAGGGAAAGGAAAGTTTGGGGCTCTCTGCTGGAACTGCTACCTCCGCGACCCGACCACGGATAAGCGGGAGAAGATGGATGGATGGATGGATGGAATATAAGTTCAAAGGGTTGCATGCACTGTCCGGGCTTCACAGTTGAAACGCTTAATGTGGTTTCACTTTCATATGTTTATGAATGTGGCACAACAAAAAGTCAACAATTCACTTTTTTTTGTATTCCTCAAGGAAAACCAATCCATCCAAGTATTTGTTGGTTTGCAACAGTAGAACAAATGGTGGTTCTGTTTACCTAATGCCATGTTGTTGTCGTTGTCCTCAGGGTGGAGTCCTCAGATGAACCGGTGTACGAGAGTTTGGAGGAGTTTCACGTCTTCGTCTTGGCCCACGTCCTCAGACGACCCATAGTGGTGGTGGCTGACACCATGCTGAGGGACTCTGGAGGAGAGGGTAAATATGCCCAAGGCCTCATATGCAGAATTTACACTCAAATTGTCAGAAAATCACTAGGAATATTTATCAGTTTCCTACCATTTGCCTGAGTTATCCTAATAAGAAAAGCACAATCCATCTGGTATCTGAAGCATGGGAAAACAAACAAACAATACAAACTAATGCCAGATATTATACGACCCATTTCAGTCAAATAAAATACAATAATATCCTATAAAAATCCAACTGGAGCTGAGGTAACATCTTTATTAGTTAATAGTCTGTTTATTCCCTTTGCACTGTTGAGACACATGAATGACTTTCTGATACTAGAGGTGACGACAGTCTTGTTATAACATTAATGCAGCTCTCATAATGAGGTGACAGTTGGAATCAGATAGAACTAAACCTCCAACTAGTGAAATAGTGATTTAATTTATTGATAGAGGTGAAAGCTCATATTATTTTTAGCTCAAACTGTCTTGCGGTCGCCCTTTCCTGCTGTTTAATGTCCTTGTTTCTCTTCCCTAGCCTTTGCCCCCATCCCGTTTGGAGGCATCTACCTACCGCTGGAGGTGCCAGCTGCCAAGTGCCACCGCTCGCCCCTCGTCCTGGCGTACGACCAGGCGCATTTCTCTGCCCTCGTCTCCATGGAGCAGAGGGACGGCTCCAAAGATCAAAGTAAAGGTCAGCGTCGTTGATCTTGATTATCATCCATGTGTTTGCTTTTCATACTGCCTCGTAGGAAGCAGTTGAAATTCATCACAGAGAGATTACAGAGATACAATTTAACGTCAATAAAAGTACTTCAGTTATTTTCATCTGTAAATATGTGTAGGCGTTTACAGTTTTCCGACGGTACTAGCACCCACTTTACAGCTTGGTGCCTTTGCTTGATGACTCATTCTTTTTTTCTTTAGTAGTTTATTTAAGAATGGTGACTAATGGCCATTACGCTTTTGAGTATATCCACACACACCACACACCACGCAAGCAAATGACCACCTCCCTGAGTTAAGATTTAGATGCCAGTTCCACCACCTAAGATTTGTAGTTAAAGTACTACTCTGATTTGGATACAATATGCTTTGAATAACTGTCAGTCTATTTTCTTTTGCTAATGCAGCTAATGCTAATATAATGCTATTTTCTTTTCCTCTCACCCTACAAGAGTTCGATTTTGGAGAGCACTGAATAAGTGTGGTGCACAGATGAACTTTATCCTTATATTTCAGGACATAGCCCAGACGTTGTATTGTTTACCAGTCTAAAAATATCACCTTTGACCGTCCAAAGGCAACATTGGTCAGACATTCCAGACTGAATGTTCAAACAGAAAGTGAACAAATTGATTGCTCTCAGAAATATTTCTGTCTGCAGACATGGCAGTGCTGGATTTAAACGTTTTATCTGTTTTGCTAAGAATACTTCCCCCCCCCTCTCTATCAGCAGTTGTGATCCCTCTCACTGACTCGGAGCACAAAATGCTGCCTCTGCACTTCGCTGTGGATCCTGGGAAAGATTGGGAGTGGGGCAAGGATGACACAGACAACGTGATGCTGGCAAGGTATGTTCTCCAAAACATCTTACATATTTACCAAGGAATTTTTCCGACGTGCTCTTAAGAATCAAACATGTGTACGTCTTTAGTGACAGCTGTCCCTTCAGCACAGAGTGTCAGTGTGTAGGGATTGACCGCTGACTTCGGATTAGAGACACTTGGTGCCAGTGACAATTAGATTAGCTCTAAATACCTTCTATGAATGGAGCGGGGAAGGAGCGCAAAAATAGCAGCTCGGTAAAAATAACCGTCCGTCGTATTTACGTCACGGATGATGACTGTGGATGTCTTACTCAGACCGGATGGTGGACAGAGGTGACATTATAAAAGTGTCTGTTTATATTGTTTGTAAAAGGTCATTGGCTAGTGCAGGGCATGATGGACAACAGCAAGATGCTCTAAGTGCTATTAACCGTAGCATTCAGAGCCACTTTAACAGTTGTTGTTAAGCAGCAGCACGCAAATCAATGAGTTTTTATTACTGGTCTACAGAAAGACAATCTTCAACAGGGCTGTCAAACTCAATTTGAGATAAAGTGCCACACTCTGTATAGCATAATATGATCTCAAGTAGGCCAGCCAAGTAACACCATTACATAATGACCTTTAAATAACCACACCTTGAAATCATTCCCTTCTTATAGTGTAAAGAACTACATCTGAAGGTTTACATTTAATGAACAATCACTTACCAAACAGATTATGAACAGCCTGAGTTGGTAGCTGATCTCTAGACACACCTGACTGCTGTGCTCTCAAACCGGCCAACTGTTTACTTATCTTCTCCTCTGTTCTCAGTTGCTGTGTTGACTCCGGTACATAATTAGATATTATGTTCATTGAAAGCTAAAAAGGGGATGTGCACACACCAAGCACACTGGCTTCGATTTGAACTCTGCTAAGAAATAGGAACTAGTACATTTGTTTTGGAAAACACGACCACTCTTCTGTCCACTTTTCTCTATTTTTTTTTGGTAAAAAAGTTTTTCACCATGAACAGTAGCCTTTTGTTCTGAACAGCGTTGTGTCACGTAACAAAATCTTTTGATTAACTATGCAAGCTTTGAATCTATACCGTTTCCAGCGTAGGGCCTGCTAATCTTTTTAGGACACTGTGGCCCCCGGTGGACACATATGAACACCAGCACATTTGATGGAATAACTGGAATTACCTACTTCTATACAATCTTTACATTTGTATTAAAAGGAATGGTTTTATTTATTTTTAATGGAGTAAGCTTCTCTGCCTACATTCACAGTATGATATTTTAATAGTAAAGCTGCATTGATGTCTTGTAAGTCATGTTGATGTTTCTATTGCTTGCTGCATATTCGTGTTCTGTCAGACAGAAAGAACATAATATAAGGGCATCATTGACTTCCTAAACATCAACATAATTACATTTCCATAGTGACAACACTTGAGTTCTTGAAGAGAAAGCGAGTCTCCTCTCACTGTTTTGTTTTTCTCTCCCTCTTTCTCCCAGTGTGGCTCTTTCTTTGGAGGCCAAGCTCCAGATGTTGCACACGTACATGACGGTCACCTGGCTGCCCCTTCCTTGCGAGGTAAACATGAGAGGCCACACATCCATTGTTGCAGCCAATAATATGTTTTTGTTATTTTTTTGAACACTGGATGGCGTAGTGGTGCAACGGGGTATTAAAGTGACCTCAGCGCGGTACAGGTGTGAGTGTTTGGGGCTGTTATGGGCAAACAGTTTTTGAATGTGTTGCCATACACACGCAGGTTTTTGGTTGAAAATAAATGGTATTTCAACTTTGTCGTCATTGGAGAGCGCACACGTCCGACTAGTAAATCATAGCTTAGCAATCCCTCTGAGATATTGAGTGGCAACAATCACCACATCCATCCTGAGTCATGTTAACTCCTCTACAGCATGGAGGCTTATAAAACGGTCTCAGCCATCAGATGTTACCACAGCTTTAATTGGACAAACTTGTTTTGCTTAAACTTATTTTGCCATGGCAGTCCAGATAAATCACAGATAAGAAAGACAAGTGAATTATATTTTAACTATCCATGAAGGCTGGTGGAGGATTCCAGAGTAATTCAGTATCTTACCATCCAAATTGAGTTTTGAAAGTAAAAGGAAACCACAACTCGTAATGTCATTATCAAACAGACGCCAAAGCTGCTGGTAGCTGCTTGTGGTTAGTGTTCATTTCCCACACTCATTATAAACGAGGTAATATATTTTCCTTTTCCATCAGACCAGCTGCCCCCTGACTGCTGTACACAGCGTTTGTGAAAACAAAGTACACTGGGCCATTCAGGTCATTAAGTCATGCCATGAGACGCCATGACAAAGCTCCTCTTGTGGGCCACTTGCTTGAAAGAACACGTTAATAGCAGTTTCATGGTTAAGCTGCAGCGAGTCTGTAATAAACTATAATTTAAGAGGATTGTTCTGATTGGAAATGGTATCAGAGGATAGCTGTGTGGTGGCCATTGTTGTTGGAAGGTTCTGTAACTGCTTCGTGTTTCAGAGCAGTGCGTCATCATGTAGGTCAATGCCTTTTTCAAATGCAGCAGTGTTTATTTTAGAGCTTCCTTTAGCATGTTTGTAGATATGGAAAGACATTTGGAAACTGAGTCCTTTGCATGGGTCTGCAAAAAAACAGGTCAATGAATCATTGTTTTCACATTGTTTTTTCCCCATACCTGACGGGCCCCTTTACTGCTAGAGTTTTTTGGGGGGGATTTCTTATACACATATTTTAACCATTGAGATTTGGTCAGCAGATTATGGCCTGATGTACATTTTGATGCAGTATTTCTCACTAGTTTGTGTTTTCTGCTTTGTTTACTTGCAGCAAGCCCCTCTGGCCCAGCCCGAGTCTCCCACAGCATCAGCAGGAGAGGACACCCGAACGCCTCCGGACTCAGGAGAGTCAGACAAGGAGTCAGTCAGCAGCAGCTCCAACGGCAACGGTGACACAACCACAGCATCAACGGTCAATGGAGGAGGAACCTTAGCCAAGAACAGCTCCTCTTCCTCATCAAGTTCCTCCAGCAGTGGATCGGCTGGGGCTGGGGCTGGGGCTGGGACAGGAACAGTGGGGAAGGACAAATCCAAGAAGGACAAGGACAAGGACAAAGACAAAGACAAGGACAAAGACAAGGACAAAGACAAAGACAAGAAAAGGGCAGACTCTGTGGCCAATAAGCTTGGCAGTTTTGGAAAAAGCCTGGGCAGCAAGTTAAAAAAGAACGTGGGCGGTCTGATGACGGGAAAGAACGCCGGAGCTGGAGGCGCCAAGCAGGACGCTGTGGAGAAGAAGAAGGGCTCGTTTAGGGGGAGGAAGGGCAGCAAGGATAGCTCGCCTTCAGCCCATGTCTCAGAGGATTCTGGGAAAGGCTCCCCCTCCTCAGGTAGCGAGCGTCTCAACGGAACAGGAAGCAGTATGAGCAGCAGCGGAGGGAGCAGTACTGAGGGCGAACAGTACAAATACAGCGCTGATGTCAAGGTCAGCCTGGGCATCCTGCGGGCCGCCATGCAGGGCGAGAGGAAACTCATCTTCTCCAGCCTCCTCACGACCAGCAACCGGCAGCCCTTCCAGGAGGAGATGATCCAGCGGTACCTTGCAGATGCAGAGGAGCGCTTTCGGGCCGAGCAAGAACAACAGCGGCGTGACACAGAGAGGAAGGGCGTCACCAATGGCGTCCAGCCCCCTAAGAAGGAGACGGTTGTCGGAACAGATCTAACGTACCGGCCTTATGAGACCAAAGAGGAGCTGTCGGAGAACTCGTCACCTACCTTTAACGCTCTCAAAGCCTCTCCTTTGACCTCCTCTATGTACTCTGGTGTTGTGCCCATCCCCCGGCCCTCCTTCATAGATCAGTCCCCTGCCGCAGCGCCCCTCACCCAGCACCTTCATATGCACGACTACATGGACGCTAGGCGCCAACTAGCTGGTGGCTCCCCTGCAACCTCCTACCCTGGCCTACCCTCTTACGCCACCCTCCCCCGGCACTGTCCTGCAACACAGGCCCCCTCCCATCCCCAGTTCAATAACTCTCAAGGCCCCGCCTCCCTGAGTCCCTCCCGCCTCACGCCCTCGTATCCACCTGAGTTTGATCCACCGGATTACCCCGGGTCTGAGCCCGCTGGGGGGAGTTACACCAACGGCTTCCGGGACATGCGCTCCAACTTAGACTCACGGGGTGGGCAACCGCCCGTCAGACACTACTCCCTGGGCAGCGCCGGGGGTCTGGCCGGCCTGCAGTCCAGCCGCTGCCGGACAGCCAGTTGCACCTACTACGGACACCCCGAGACGGGCAACTACTGCTCCTACTGCTACAAGGAGGAGCTGAAGAAGAGGGAGCCCGAAGCTGCCATCCACAGGTTCTGACGGGCCGTTGCTATGGCTTGAATTTGATGAGTGGCCTTTTCAGTTTAAATTAAAAATAATGGCTGGGGCGGATCGGCCTCTGAGTGGACAAGAGGAAGGCACAACCAGCTCCCTCCTTTTTTTTTTTATAGCTATGTCACTTCCTGTTGGAATAGACGCCCTCAGAAAGTGGCATACAGTCGGCACGACTTCAGAATAAACAGGGTGGATTCTGGCTGCTGGGGTCACATGTTAGACCGTAGAATACATTAACTGCACTTCTGTTACATTTTGCTGTGGCTCTTATGCAGGCGTTGTGTATGAGCGTGTGTGTGTGCGTGTGTGTTTGTTTGTGTGTATGTGTGTGAGCTGCAGGCTCTCCTCCTTTATCAGTTTAACGCCTTGCTACTGTCTCCTCCTAGTGGAGAGAATGTATATGGCAGGCACCGTACATAACACTCAACACACAGATACAGTTCATGCACACACATACACTAAGTCAGACTCACACTACTATACACACAGAGATGCAAGCACAAACAGAAAAGGCACGAGTGTCTCCGCTCCATGTTGTGATATGTAATAATGTTTGGATTGGTTAATTAAGGGATGTATGAGCATTTTGAAGTCACATCTGTCTGTGGTGATTTCAGTGTTATACCGATTTACACTACTGTTACTAGATGCTTGCGTCATATGTACCTCGGGAAACAGCAGAATTAATCCTTGTCGATTTGCTTTTTCGTCAATCTCCATTTGCATAATGCACATTTTAAGTACCGTGCAATGCTAATGATGAAGCTCTCTGTGGGCTGCTGTGGTGCTAATGTTTCAGAATGCAAACACAGGAATGTCCTTGCATTAAAGGCACTTGCTCTCCCACTGTCAACCTTTTGGCAAAACACTATACATATAACTTTAAATTAGATTATTAACTGATTGAAGGTTTGATGCAATCGGTTACAATATTAACTAGGCATGATTGAAGGTATTCGACATCAACATAGCACTACTGTAAGATACTGTTCCCAGAGCCTGATCCAGAGTATTTCATAAGTTTGTTACAATGTTTCTCTTTCTGTGTTGGGTCTTCCTCATTCTGTGGCAATAGTTGCCGTTGAGGTATTTGCTTATTGTTGCCAGCACAGGCATGCAATAATACACCCACAAAAAGTCTACAAAAACACTACAAAATGTCACATTCAGCACAATAGTTTTGAAGATAACCGTCACATGGCGCTAATGGGGCTGGGGAGTATATGGATATGATATCGATATCGTGATACCAAAATAGATATCGTCTTGGAATTTTGAAAATCGTAATCGGGCACAGTCAACCCCTGAGAAGGAGATAATACAGAAAATTAATCTTGTGAAATTATATTTTCTTTATATTGCCCAGCCGTGCCGTTAAAAAGTTAAAATATTGAAATGAAACACATTTTTGGATTTCAAGCAAATGAACCTTTTCTTCTTAAGCGAGTGACATAACCTTGCTCCGAAGCCGTGAACATTTCTGCAGTTGTGACAATTGTCTCTGGTTTCTGTTTGCATGACGCGAAGGTACTCATGTACTATTGTTGGATGTTGATACCCAATAACATGCACATTGTATTGACAAATTATGGTAATAAGTTATGAGCACTGGCATTTCAGCTTTTGAAATGCCAGTGCTCTGGTGTTTGAGAAATGTGAAACACGTTTCTATTTCCTGATCACACAAAAGATCATACATTCATGCTGTCCGTTCTAATAGGACATCTTAACGCTGATTGGTTTGGTCACCGCACTGCAAATTCTGACGTTCTACTGAAGGCAGTTTCTTAATTTCTGGCATTCGTCCCGCCAAATCCAGTCGCGTATTGTCTTTTTGCACAAATTCAAGCACTTTCCTGATGTCCATAGATACAAAAGTTTTTACTGTTTTTGAAGTGGCCCGACTGTTTGACCTTTTGTCCATCTCTGCAGACACTGCCACCTCTGTTCACGGGGATTCAGGGGCGCAGGCCAGGAGGGTTTCTCTGACGGATTCAGTTACTACTATAGAGCTACAGCATTTTGGTGCCACCTTCTAACTCAGTTTCCTAGTTGCCTTTTTCAGCATTTGTCCTCGTGGCATCGATCCTGTTTGTACGTTGTGCAACACAAACATCGAGTATCCACTGCTTGCTTTTTGCCTGCAGTCTTTACTACTACTGCCCAAAAAAAAAAAAAATCATTAGAATTTTTTTAACGTGTTCTAGCTTTTGAGATAATGCCATTATCTTTTTCAGTTAGGCATATCAACGTTGATACCGGCTGATGTTTTGTCTTCCTTATTAGTTACACATTGAAAGCTGTTTTAGTTGTAATAATGTCAAAATGACTACTTTAATTCTTGTGATTATTCCCCTATAAAAGCCATGGTGAGGACTTTCTTTTCAGGCAGTGTGACTCTTATTGATTGAATCTGTTCTTTGGCATCAAGTCTAGAAAAAGCACAATTTAGTATGCAATTCACTGCCTTGCCCAGCTGAGGGCGCTCTTGTTTCGTTTTCCTCTTTCCTTAGTGTTTTGTAGCTTACTCTAGCTACCTAAACTATAAAAAAACATAACCAAAATACTAGAAAATATTTTCAGTAGTGTTCATTTAACGCTATGTAACACTATATTACAATTTGTTCTATGTTGCTAAAACTGTTCAAAGAAGAAGGGAATTTTTTTTGCTGTGCATTAAAAGAAACACTTGAGTTTTCATGACAATAAAACGCTTAAAAAAATGCTATTCCCCCAAAAAAACATGTGCATTTGCTGTGTTTATGTGTGTTGACATGTGTCCGTGCACTAGCATTTTTAATTCAGACCCATCAAGTGTTCAGGTGATGCCTGTTTTAAAAAATGTCTCAGTGTGCATACTCTCTTTCCCTCCCTCCAAAGTAATAGTGAGCTTACAAAACCATTTTTATTTTTTGCAATGAAACGGATGCCTCAGAAACATGTAAGACATCAGACTCTACAGGCTACAAACACTTTTTTGTATTTAAGAAAAACAATGAGAGGTTGTATAAATATGTTCCAAGTTATTTTTGTAAGCCCAAAGTTTTACAGTGTTTTTAAAAGGGTAAGAATGTATATTGTTGGATACTGAAACAGGTATGGATGATAAGCTTGTTAGAGCCTGAATTTGGTGTTTGACAGAAAGTGACATTTTGGCTGTCGAAGGCGACTTAAAGAAGAGCCTCTTGATTTATCGAGGCTTTTTCATTGCAAACTAATTTCCTCAATGCAGACCTAATAAAACACCATTTGAGAATATATATTTATAGTGAGATTTTTTTATAGGTTTCCTTGTGGAATGTTTAGTTGCGACACTTTAGGATGTTCTTTCTCACGTGGCTAATTGTCTAGCAGTCTGGCTTTTATTTGTTTGTTGCTTTTTTGATTTGTACATTTGTTTACTTTTTTTCTACAGCCACCAATTCGTGCTATGCTAAAACATGACAGCAGCGTTCTTGTTGACCCGGCTCGTTTGCTCCCAACCAGAAGAGAAATGGCTCAGAATTAGTTTTGCAACACAACTGACCGGATATATTTTTATATATTGTACAACACTGTATTTTCTGTGTGAACAGAATTATCCATCATCAGTGACATTAACATGGAATACTTCGAGTTGCATGGGACTGGAACTGTTGCATGTAAATGGCAATCCATTTTACCAAATTTGTGCATTATTTTAACTTTCAGTTGTCCTGGTATTTTGATCTGTTTTTATTTTGTATTGTTTTGATGTTTTTTTTAAGAGGAGAGCCCTAAGGCTGTGTGACAGTGCAATCTGGATAGAAAGAACATCAGATTTTATGTTAGGTTATTATTATTATTTTAATTATTCTTTTTTTTTTGCACCGTTTGAATAAATTCTCATTGTATTTCAAAAATGCTTTGCCTCCGCTCTTTTCTTCGTAAATTATAAAAACTAACTTATGGGATTCAATTCTAACATAAAATATGATTGGTAAGTATGTGGTAATGATATAAAGAGGAAACAAAATGATTAAACCGTTTTGTCATACATAAAGTCTTAGCACTAGGCTAAACAATCTTGGAATTAGAGACTGAACAAATTGTCATATGACAGAAAATAATCAACATTTATCTACAATATAAGTTGATAGTTGACTATAAATCAATTAAATATTCAGTCAAGCTAAAACGGGCAAGCATTTCAGGCTCTCAATTGTGAAGATTTGCTGCATTGTTTTGTGTTATCTGATAAGAAACTGAATATCTTTGTATGTTGGAGTGTTTGTCAGACAAAACAAGCGATTTGAAGAAGTCACATTTTACATAGATTTATGTCTAAAACCAATTATTTAAGCAAGATTGTTTAAGATGTGGGGGTAGTGGTGTGAGACTCGTCTTACTAGACAATACCAGAAAACTCAAGGGTTACTGTTAAATAGTTTTCACCAGAGATACAGGGGCTCCAGAGACAACAGAATAGGAACCAACAGAGATCAGACATTTATGTTATTGTTAAAACTTACAGGTGTTACTGAGTATTTATTGTTATCTGTGTCATGCTGTATGAAACTAGCCTTGTTACATTATACATTGTCGAATAACTCCAGCTCAGATGATGCAAGGTCCTGTGTCTGGGACTGTTTTATGTATTAGAGAAATCGGAGACCCTTATGTAATATTGAACAGTTTCCCATGTGGTAAAAAATCCAGACATCTCTCTATTATAGTTCACAAGGACACCGTCTCTCCACCTGTTCAGAAGGGCAGACTGTTTCGCAGGATTATTACATTTTTCCCATTCTCTCTGGAAAGTCATTTCTTCTGAATTGGCCCCCTGTATTTGTCTGGAATAGAGTTATTGGTGTATTTTTCCACAGTTTTGGATGAGAGAGGGAAGGATCCCGTCCCTACACGGAACAGCTACAAGAACAAGGTAGTGCTGGAGAAAAAGAGGGCTTTAAGTAAATATACAGTGCAGGATACTTTTACAAGTTTTTTGCAAGCTTAGAAGTTCAAGAGTGATTCATAAAAAATGTGTTCTCTTGAATTTTCACATTAGATAACAAAGTATAATTGATATGAGAACTACTTGACATTGTTGTCACACGTGTAAACAAAAGATATAAATGAGAAGCAATGGTAGAACAAAGCACAAATTAGAGACACAAGCTTGGGCAGTTTGAGTTTAATACTAATCATACAAATTGAATACCTGTAGAGCTCTATAAATGCAATGGTCCCAAGAAAGTACATTGAATTCCTAAATTATACATCTACTTCACAAGAGAGAAATATTGCTCTTTTCACCCCTCTTTATTTATTTAGTCAAACGTTACTTTACATATTAAGAAGGTACAAGACATAGAAGGACCCTAGCGTTCCAGCAGTATTTATAAAATAAATTAAGTGTAGCAAGTTTGGCATGTAACATTAGTACAATTATCATTGCACATAGTTACGTAAAGATTCCTGTTACAGTAATGGGTGGACTAACTACAGTAGGAGTAGCAGCCAGTAGTAGTCATAAACTAAAAGAATAGCAGAACATATTGCACACAACACGTGTTGTACAACAGTAGTGTCATAGACTTGTTTTGTTGTAACATTATTGTACATTGGTGTTATTTTACAACCGATGTGTTATAACATTCTAAAAATAAATACTTTTAAGATAATAACTCATTTTCTGTTAATTTCTGGGATTAATACTGAATTACAGAATGTTTTTTTCGTCCGAAATTGGCCTCCACAGTTTTAGCTCCAGATCATACTTTCTTTTCGTCTCCCTGACGTACTGGCCCTTTAAGAAGCTCCACCGCTGCACTTGGCTTTTTTTTCTTCCAGCTCAGTGTTTCACTATGGCGAATGGATAAACAAACAGAGCCCAATGGGTAGGAAAGCAGCAGTAACGGTGAACACATCTGCCCTTTAGTGACTAACACCAGTCCGGTGACTGGTGGAGGGTTTTCTGCAGGGTGTGCTCTCGGGACACGGATGCTGTCAGTGCGAATAGAAATGAAAAGAGCGAAAATAGTTTGCTTCTCCACACTGAGCACCTCGGTTTTAGCAGCCGATGATACAGGCTAAGCGTTACTGGACTCCGGACCCTTTCTTCTCCTTCTGACCGCTTCTCTGGGCTAAACATGGAAGGAGCAGAACACTAACTAACACCTTAGCTTCAGATATCACTCAGCTGTTTTCATTTTGTTTTTTACTTCAGTCGGTTTTATTTCGCTCGTATTTTTTCTTATTATTAAGTCGAGTTGATCTGCCTTAATAATGTTGACAGGATCCAAAACCACCTTCAAAGTGAGGCAAATGCTACCAGATATCAAGGTAAGGCAACGTTTAGTGAAATAACTGACTTTTAACAGCACTAGCATTAACACATACTTAAAATATACTGTCACATACGCTGAGGTATATTTGGGAATCCCTGTCCTGCTTTTCCTTTTGTTAGTCTGATTCAAAGCAGATGTCAATTTTAAGTTTTTGTTCATGAACATGTCTGGTTTGGATTCAGTTGAAGAGCCTTTGAACCCATCCTTTTTGTACATAATGTTTTAATATCCTCTTTTGGAACTTGCCACTTGCCACTCTAATATGAAGAGAAATTCAATTTCATTTTCAGTTTGATTATGATTTCCCAGTTTATATTTGATACATTTATTTCACAACACTCAATATTGCTTTGTCAGTACTATAAGTTATCACCACTAGTCATGCGATGGTCATACATCAGAGGACAGGAAGCAGGAAACACTGGCCATCATTCATCTTGCAGAGCTATAAATGTACATTCTGGTAGTCTGCAGCCTGGCTGTATTTCAAAACCTGCAGTCCTGTTTTAGAGTCTGCATAGGGCTGCTGTTTCCTTCTTTCTGGAGATGCATAGTAACTGTAAGAGGACATGATGTCGCAGGCTTTGGCTTCATGTCTTTTAAAGGCCAGTGAAGGGGTGGTGAATCTTAATCACTTCTCGTAGCAGGGGGTTTTCCTCATCTGGGATTAAGTTGTTTTACACCAGACAAATGGTGCAGACAATCATCTTCCCTGTGCACTGAACAGTTGTAGCCTGTCTCAGCTGCTTTAATTGCCTTGGAAGGCTTTGAAAGGTCACATGGTGCTATAATGAATTGCTTTGAAATGCAGTAGCTGAATCCTTGCATTTTGAATGATCAGTAAGATACTGACCCAGTTTTGAAGCACCTGAGAGGATAGAGGTTAGAAGGGGCTCATCAGTTTGATAGACAACACAGATAAATGTGCACACACAGTATGGAAGTGTTCAGAGTTTCTCACTCCTTTGGGAACAGTCTCTTGGCTCTTTGTGCTGCCTGGCTTTTTGTGTCTCGCTGGTTATTTCCAGCAGCCGCAGGGGGAATCGGTAACAGATGCCTCTTTTCTCTGCCCTGGGGCGAGGCTTGCATGTGGAGTGGGGGGTGAGCACTGTGAAACATCTGGCTGTCGTCATGGAGACACCAGTAAGGAGGTAGAGGAGTTTTGAATTTGATTACCTCCAAAAGAGACACAGACATCATCACTGTGCCCCACTGATGGAATCCCATGTGTCCAAGTATGAGAATGTGGCTGAGCATAAGATATGGTAATGCAGAGTAGTAGGCTGTGTGGATTATATGCACAGGCCACCCACACACTCTTGTGGGTTTCACTTCCAGGAGCTGCTGAGACCGCTTCGGAAAACCAAATCCAATCCTGGGCTGAATTTGGACCAGATGGCTTTTTGCAGTTTGCAATTACTCATCTGCTCTTCCTTAATCTTGGTTTAATATCTGAGTCATTTTGGATGCCATACATTATGATCATGCTGCAATTAATGATCTTTTTTTGAACAGCGTTACATTTGCGGATGCCTTTCTGGATTATTCAATTATTTGTTATACACAAAAATGCCAATTGCAATTTCCTAAAGCGGAAGGAGACATCTGCAACATGCTTGGTTTGAGCCTAAAAGAAATGTCGTTTGACAAAGAGAATCAGCCAATTGTCACCATTTTGAAGCTTGAATTAGGAAATGTTTTAGCATTTTAGCTTTACAGTGAATAAGTGAATGAAAAAACATCATCAGTGCATGCATGCTACATAAGGATGCTCATTCCTGCATCGTGCCAGTTTACTGGGCTTATTCATGCTTATTTTGGCTATGCCCATCCCCTTGAGTTCCCTTTATCTACATCTCACAGCCTGCTTTGAAGCAGTCAGCATGAAAGGCGTGCAGCACAAAGCTCCACAGAAGCAAAAATGCCAGAGGAGGGATCATCTGAGCTCTGCAGAGTGGCTGAAGATCCAAGCCTGATAGGAGCAGGCCGAAGCAGAACAGTCACCCACGCCCGCTCCCACAGGACCCAGACCTCACATTCACTGCCAGCCCCCGAGCTGCAGAGGCTTCCACTGTTTAAACAGAGCACAACAATGGGCTCTTCTTAATGGCAGAGCAGATTTATGTTTCCGTTAGAGGTGTATCGATCTGGCATTGGGGGATAATTAACCAGAGGCTCTATTCACTAGTGAAGGGGTTGAGAGGCTAGGTCCTTTGTCTGTTTTGAGTGTATATAACGGTTCTGATCATCTCACCTCTGGGACCTTAGCTGTCAGAGTAGAGGTGACTTCAAACCACATTTCATACAAGAGACTTATGATTATGAGGCACTGAGAATGCAATATCAAGCATTATATTTTGACTTAAGCTGTTTAGCTGACTCTGGCATCGGCAATGAGGTACTGTTAGTGACAATGTAAGAGGCTTAGAGAGTGTGCTTCAGAGAGGAAGAAATGTTGCTGTGGAGAGACACGCTGCATGTTGTAGACATAATAGGATTTGTTCACAGAACGATCTGTCTGACTAGGCAACCCCAGAGTCCTTTAAAACAGGAAGCCCAAACACTAATATGTCAGGGCTCCAATGAGGCCGGTATACTGATTGATGGACAATCCAACAGGAGGTGATTTGTGAATGCTGGCTAATTGAAACAGGTCATTATGCTGCTTTGGTAGTTTTTTTTACTTGATGATTTGTAATTCCTTATACACCAGGATGCAATTCCTTATACACCAGGATGATAGCCATGAAGACTTGTCAGTAAGTCTGTCACTTTTGGATTGATTGCTTTGAAATTTGGTCCCAATTAACCAAAATAACTGATCCACTGACTTTTCACCTAGGGCCACAATGAGGTTAAAGGTCCCATGTCATGGGCATTTCTACTGATCATATTTCCATTGTTGAGGTCTACTAGAATAGATTTAAATTGTGCATTTTCCAAACTCACATTGGTTTCTCATACAGCATCTCTGTATAGTATGTGTATTCACTCTCTGTCTTAAACGGCTTGTTGGAGCTCCTGCCCTCCCCCCTCCCTGTGAGCCCAGTGTGCTCTGATTGGTCGGGACGTTGCGAGGCTCATTGCTGCGAGGAGCGGACAGGTTTCCGGGTCGGCGATACAGCGAGAACAAGCGAAACTCATCCTGAGCACACACAAACACTCACAGCCGAAGTAAAAACAATAAGCGTGGCTTGATATTGAGTAAGAAAACGGTTTATAACGCTGTGAGAATGGGTCTGCGGAGAGCATTTCTCCATGATCCCAACTCGTCTATTACCAGCGTTCAGGGAGGTCTATGCAAGTCAATGGGGACTCCCTGTTAGTTAGCCAAGGGATCCTGGCTGTGTGTGAGGGGCTCCGCGGATTGGTCCATTTGGAGCAATCCGGTCATTTGTTGTTGATTTGGGTGTTCACACGTCACAGAACCCAGGAAGCAAACAATGAAAAGTGAGAAATCTCCAACGAGGCGCTCTGGGGCAGCATAGACAGGTCTTTTCTGTGTTAGAGCTTTACTCGCTACAGGGTGTACTTTGAGGGTTTTAACTCTGCAGACCGTTTACATGCAGAAAAACATTCATAACACACAAGGTACGGGTAATAACCAGAAAGGCATGACATGGGACCTTTAACATTACATTTTATTTTGTAAAATGTCTGGACAACTGTGGCTGTACTTTATAATCGGTTTATTTAGAAAACATAGTGTGCCTAAATGCAAGATGTGATGGTGACTATGATCAATAGTATATACCTGCTAAACATCAGTTAGCATGATAGCATGCAGATGTTAGCACATCGCTCCAAGCAATGCTTTGGGTAAATACAGCCTCACCTAGCTTTTAGCATGACTGTTGACCTGCTATCCTGGTTTATATGGCCTTAGATGACCTTTGAACCCTCTGTACTGTCATAACATTACAACAACTACACACATTCTCTGCCGTCACTGTACAGCAAGGCGAGGAGGAGATAATTAAGAGTCAAATATGTAATGAGACAATCCTTTTGTAAATAATGCAGTAGGGGATACTGTTAAAAGAGCCAGTAATGATCTGCTTGTTGAGTATCTTCTGTACTGGTGTTATAATTAAGAAAGGATAAGAATGAAGACACTGCCCCCTAATATCCCCTTTCATTCAAGGTTTCAGAAAAAAGAATGCTTCAAGAGCTGTGCTAATTGAGGAAGGCTTTGGCAGAGAAATGGGTTAAAAGCTGGGTTTATATGGTGTGATGCATATCTCATTAAATATTAACTGTATGAACTCTCAATTCATGAATCATTTAATGATATTTCCCCCTATATGTCAGAATCAGTTCTACTACTACTGCTACTTTACTGTGTGTTTTTCACATTCATGCCAAAACGTAGCTTTTGCTGTAATGCGGTTTCTAGATTAGGTAATTATATATGAGATTGATAATACACTAGAGGTAGTATATTTCCACAGATTCTTGTTCCACTGTTCGCTGCTGATTATTTTCAAGGCAGTTATTTAGTCCTTTAGCTCTGACCTTGAGGTTGTAGTTTCCATGCAAGAATACAGCTGATGCCAGGTCCTCTGTTTCTATCATAGCAATTTAAAAACTGTACTTCCTTGCAGGTTTGCTTCTAAAGGAAAGATAAGGATTTGAAAGAAAGTTAAAATGATTAGAAAATGATGACACTTCGCAATCCACTTTATATCGTCGGACAAAAACATCTCATGTTATTCTTTCTGGAATAAGAGGAAACAATTCAAAGTGTTCCCCATTTAGAAAAGACTACCTCATATCCTCTTTTTACTTCAGAGCCAGCTCACAATATCATATGACTGTCCCCATTCATGTTGGAAAATGAAAGCACAGTACAGTAAACAGTAACGCTAATGTGCATTTTACAAGCCCCAAAGCAGAGCATATGTCTGTAGGAGCCGCTTTTCAAAGACACTCTTAACAACACAACAGTGTGTTTTGGAACGGCACTTCAAAAAGTATCCATAGTTCAGTTTGCTTGTTTGTTTAAAATGATATTGTTCAGACTGTTAAAATGCAACTGAGCAAGGTATGTGTCACAAGAGTTTGTGTAACGAAACAACTCTCATGAACCTTCCTTATTAGCGGTTGTCCTAACACTTATAAAAATAGATTTCAAGATATTATTATGTGCCTATTATTGTCCCTCTTGAATTCCCATGCCAACTTCCTTGTGACGTTGGCTTGTTGTTGTTCAACATAAAAGGAAGAATGTTCCAGACAAGCACACTTACTGCAGAAGTCTGGGCGCAGTAGCAAAGGAAAGCCATGAGAAATGGAAACTGCAATACGCCTTGCGCCCCCCACCCCCCCCCCCCCCCCCCCCCAGAGGATGAAGGGAGGGAGCAGAGGAGGGCAAAAGTGGGGCAGCATGGGGGGGGAAGAGAGGCAATGCAAGTAATATATTGGGGACGCTGAAGCCACACAATTAAAGCAAAAGTGTTATGTCAGCTAAACACTGCGCTGGGAATGTGGTTTTTAAATAATGTGTGACAGCCTTACTTATGCACGGCATGTTTCTGCTTGGACATTATCTCATTCCTATTTTCCTGATCTCTGTTTCACCCTGCAAATGTAGCAAGTGACGGATAAATGCTTTGATTTTTCTACAAATCACATTTTGGCTAGATAAACCAAGGGAGCTCCACTCATATCAGCCTGTATCACATTATGTACACAGTCTGCAGTAAGGTGCCAGCAGTATCTCACCTTGTGTAGTGTGATGTTGTGCAGTGTGTTCACTTGCCTTACAAGACCCTCAGGCCTGAGTTTGTCAGGCTTCACAACCTTCAGAGGACATATCTAAGACACTAGACTTATGGAACAAAAACAGATCTGAATTGCCTCTGATGTTCTTCAAAGGGGATACAGAATTCAGCTGTGGGTTTGCTGTGGGTGTTGATGCAGAGACTGAAAGAAAGCATAATAAAATGTTAAAACCAGATGAAAAAAAAAATGAACAATGCTTTGGCAAGCAGAAGCTAACTCTTGTAAAACTTTACTGTTGTGTTTTTCTCCGGCGGTTTTGCATTCGGTCTTTGAATTTGGTCAGCAAAATTGGTAGAACTATAACAATATTTAAATATGTGTCGGGAAGAAAACCATGCTATTGGCTCAAACTTGTTGCATTACAGATGTTGGCAGTGTGCAAAAAGAACGGCATAGAAACAGAGCAAACCTTCCTGTATGACATTAATTAGTGCTCGTATGTGAATTGATTCAAATCATTCTTTGTTTTTATAATGGGATCATGGCTCACATTGCCTTATAGTTGAATAATCAGCAAGTTAGTGTTAGTTTATTTTCTCCCTTTGTATACACTTAAAGTCTTTTACTAATGAATTTGCTTCATACATATGCAATTATATCATAAACTATGACCTTCAAGATAACATCCAGATATGATTAGTTGCAAACTGGCAGACTCTTGGGGGTGAATACGTGTGATTTGACTACCTTTTCAAGGAGCAAAGGTCCTCTTTGTGAAATGTTTTTTATGGGGGCCCACAAGCTTAGAGTCTCAGGTTTTCACGAGCCGGCTGCTCACACAGAATCCACCGCACTGCAGAACTGTTAGCACTGGCGACTCAGTAGATTCCTTGTTATTGTTCACACATCGTTGCTGACTCCGATACATACCGGTGCTTTGTGATATGGCTGGTGCTGCTAATAAAACACAGATTCATAGTTTCATTGTGAGGGAAACTAGGCTCTACAATGTATAGCTTCACTTAATGTCAACTCAGCACTTTAACTCTATTTCTGTGCCGCTTTAAAGATTGTTCAACACCTGTATAACCACACCGTTCTCTCACATTGCAGGGCATGGCATGTTATGGGCCGATTAATGTAAACAGCCTTCACAAGAGGGGGGGGGCAAAGTTAAGTGGAAGCATATGTGCTAGTAAGTTCACAGCCTGATTATAGAAACCTCTGTGGCTAAGTGGAGTTGTAGGCTTGCTTTTAAAACAGACCAGAGTACGTGAGACTTCATGACTGCTATAGAGAAAGCAGGAACAAACAACAAGATGGAAACTCCGCATCATGGAGCATTGTGGAGTTGGCTTTGTGTCTTTGTCTTTGAAAGTGAGTCCATCAAGACAAGCATTGAGAGAAGCAGACATAACTTATATTTAATCAACAACACCAAAGGGGGCAAGGCTCTGTCCTTGTGTTAAGTGAGTTTCTTCACTTTTAAAGACATTTAAAGAAAGAGTCTGCAAATATGGTTCCATTTTAAAAAGAAAACTGTTTTCTTAGTCGATCTGGGTGTTTTTGTTCTTGTGAGTCGTGGTTAACAAAATGTTATTATTGTTTTTGTTACGTTCTTTATTTAAATACACTTTTCCAATATACTGTATGCCATTTCACTCACTTTTTTTTTAACTTCATTTCAACTTTGGCACATGCCCTTTTGGTTTCTTCAGATGAGAAGTACTTTGCCACCTCTTTTTTACCTCTTATATTTAAGGCTACTGCTTTACATAAAGACATATTCTCTCTTCCAAAGTTCTCCTATATCGCTGTTACAGACAGACAGTCCGTCACAGACAGTGATGTGTAAAATACAGGCTGAATAAACCAATTATGATTAAGCAATGCTAATGTCTGTTCTGTTTTCCCAACAGGAGAGGATGCTGAGTCAGAGTGGAGTGAGCGCAAGGAGTCGAGATGTGCTCGGTCTCCGCTGCCTACCAGGTACGTTTGTGCTTTTATAAGCTTACTTTAGAAACTCCTACAAAGTTATATATTTTTTTACGTGTATTTTTAAAGAGCACGATGACCATGATCCATACATCAGTTCCCTTCGGACGTCCTAAACTTCTGCTTTTGAGAAAACCACACTAACTCCCAGTTCTGCACATCTTGACCTCATAACTGAAGAATGATTCCAGATCCTGTGAAGCCGTTAGCAGCTGAGCATCACAGCCAGTCAGACACAGGACTGCGCCATAGAGTAATACATAATATACCGACTCCCAACACAAACTGCAGCTGCAGTGCTGCTCCAGGATCAGATGATGAATCCACATTGAGGCAGAAAGCTGCTGCTCTCATTGTTCTCTCTCTGGTTGGAAACTTGTAGCCACACCTGGAGCAGGAATGTCACAGCAGGTGCTTTGCCTTTGAGATGGGAAAAGATCTAAAGCAGAAAGCTAATCTGAACACAAAAGGAGAATGGGAGCCTCAGTTGTTTGGCTATGGTAAAACGATCTTACAGATGTATTGCATAATGAGTTCTGCTCACAGGAAGGGCTGCAGGATTAGAAAAACTGCTATTGCATTATTTTCATTAAGCAGTTAGAAGCTATATGACCTGTTTGAGCTCATTTGCCTTCTTGACTCATAATAAATGTGTGATCATTGCATGTTTGCTGCTGCATCCTCAGATGTTAACAGAATGTAATTAAAATACGCTGACCATTTTCTTCTTGTGTGTGACTAAAGATAAGAAGTAAAGAACCTTGATTTCTATATTTATCGCAGAATTTTAATAACTTTCTTTAAGCAGCTCCAGTACAAATCACATGGAGGTGCATTGTAAGGCATCACGTGTTATTTCTGTATACCTCACCATACCTTTCACTCTTTGTGTTTACCCACAAACTGTGACTAGTTCCCTTCTTGTAGATTCAGCTACTTGTCCCCTGGCTGTAGAGAGAGTTCAGACAGCTAGTTCAGCCAGAGGTCAACCTTCTTAACCCGGTGATAATCTGCTGGATGGAGTAGGAGCACAGCAATGCTCCTCCGCTGCAGTCTGAGTTATCTCATCGTCGTGTGTCAGCAACAGCCTACAGCAGCTGATCTTTTAACGCTGCACATCAGCACTTACTCACAGCACTTTCCAGCAGATTAAGAGTGAACGAGGGCGTGGGCGTGTTAGATAGGAGTTTATGAGGTAGGGACATGCTTACTTGGCATTGCCTCATCCTGCCTCTCCATGACTGCTATCTCTTTTTGTCACATACTAAAAACCACAAATGAAAATATTGTGCCCAGTTCTTCACTGTTATTGCATTGGATCTCCTAACCTTTTAAACAGACATGAATAGTTATAAACATCCAATACAGTCAAAAACACAGTTATTCACTCACACACCTTCTTTACATTACAGTACATTGCATTTAGCTGACGGTTTACTCCAAAGCGACGTACTAACACAAACACTTCCTTCGTTTCGTTCACATAGTCAGCTTAATTTGTTTTCCAGCAGAGTGTTTTCATCAAATGCTTTCCAGTCTCTTCTGGTCCTTTACAAAACTCACACACCCACAAGAGATCCTATTCTTAGCTGTTAACATTTCACTGTGAAATGTCGACTGTCTTAACTTCATGTTTTTTTTCGCCCTGCTGGCTTTTAACTTAAGCTCCATCTTCAACACCGTCTAGCTGTTCCCTTACCTCTCTCTTTCCCTTCCTTCATTCCAGGCAGATTAAAAACCCAGCTGTCTTTTATCAACGGAGAGTAGAAGAACCGTGTCGGCGGGACTGTTTTCTCTTTTTCCAGCGAGACCTATATTAGCTCCTCCATGAGCTAGAATGACTTGCCATTACTCTGCTGTAAATGTAGCAATTCATTTCATTTTCTCTAAAGTGATTCAGGTTTCAGGCGGGGAAAGCTATCCTTTGGCTTTGTGCACGTTCTGCAGAGAAAGTGTTGAGACAATTTGTGAGAACAAGTTCACTTTGAGACACAAAGGAGTCGCGGGTCAGCGTTACCCCACCGAGTGAAAGGGCTCACATTACACCTGCCGACTTTCTCTCTCTTGCACATACTCTGCAAAAGGACGGGTCATTCATCCATCATGTGTAGAAACTGCCTTTTTACTTCTCATATCACTCCGGTGCTGTTGTAGTAGATTCACTTAACAGGGCAAAAACATAGTCCTGTCTCAAGCTTGATCCACTCCATTACCAAAAAAGCATAGGAATCACTTAATCATAAATGTTGGGGAAATATTTTCCTGGGCTCATAACTTTGACCCATTATCAGTTTGTAGTGCCCTCGCTGACTTCAGGCCTGCAACTTGTCCCTGCCTGTTGGCGTCAGCTGAGATAGAGGTGTTATGGTTTTATCTTGTTATGAAACATGTTGTGTGGAGGTTGTGGCTCAGTGGTTAGTGCGCTGATCTTCGGAACAACATTCCGCTGTGTCCTTGGACAAGACACTTCACCCCAACTTGTTCCTGTGGGGATTGCCCACGGTATTGAATGTAAGTCGCTTTGGATAAAAGCGTCTAACAAGTGACATGTAATGTAATGTTGATTCTTCTGTCAGAACTATCTAAATACATGGGTCTGAGGTAGAGATCTTCAGACTTGGTTTTGTATCCGCTGTGTCGCCTCGCGGCACATGACATGTCTTGTGAATTCTCCGGGTGAAGCTCCAAATAAACCCTCAGTGTTTGCTATCAAAGTTCCTGCTCTCTCTGAGTCCTGTCTCCATTACTTCAGAAGTTTCCATCACAATAAATATGATTGCAGAAGTTGTCCCGCTGTCTCAGTAGTTACCGGGCAGTGCTCGGTGTCCACGGTGTTCTCATGTGACACCGGGACACAGGACCGCAGAAACCGAGCCGGCCTGCGGGGGGGCGAGCGGATCAGGACAGCTCCGACAGCCATAGGTAGATCATGTACCTTTTTCAATGCTGCGAGTGGGGGAGGGGGGTTTACTGTCCATTCACACACAATGCCAAGAGTCCAGGACCCCCTTCAGAGCCACTTCACAATCCCCCCTTTCTCCATAGTCTTATGTTACCGTGGGATTAAAAGGCTGTCCATCAGTTTTAAACCTCGTTGATTGATGGACAAGAGACCAGAGAATCGACATTTGTACACTTGGGTTGCGATCTTGATATTGAAAAAGGTATTACATGATCTGTATTTAGATTTTTAATGGATGTTTTCCAGTTCAGTGTCCATGGCATTACACAACGGATATTTTTATATTTTTGGGTGGATTTTTAATTATGATAATCACTTTGTCTGGAGATAATCTAGTAGCAGTTTAACATGCATATGACGGGGGAACTCCACAGAGACTGGCTTAGTGGAGGGTAAAGTTGGACATGTTTTGCTTTTATTATAGCTTTAAATGACAAGCTTACCAAACGTGATCTGCATTTTGAAACGGCTGTCTGTTTGTGGAAGTTGCATGTCATGAGGGTTAGTGGTCTGTGGTTCTGTGTACTAAAATATGTAAACTGAGCAGTCTTTTGTACTGTGTCAAATGATGTTATAGACGCCAGGCAGGACTTCTCTCTTTGTCACCTATACAGAGAATTTCCTCATAATTCGCTACACCCCAGCCAGAGCTTTAAGGTCTGCTGACCAGCTGTTGCTGATAGTGCCCAAGACCAGGCTCAAAACCCCAGGTCACCGAGCCTTCGCAGCAGCTGGCCCCAGGCTCTGGAACAGTCTGCCGCTCCATGTGAGGTCGGCCCAGACACTAGGGTTTTTTAAATCTACACTTAAAACTCAATTCTTCTCTCTGGCCTTCTAGTCTGCACGAGTACGACTCCTGACATTTCCCTGTGTTTTATTTTTTATTTGTGCTGTTGTATTTGTTGTAAAGTATTTTTATTGCATGTACAGCACTTTAGCTCCACCAAAAATCGTTTTAAAAATGTGCTATATAAATAAAACTTGATTTGATAAGCTGGTAGTTTTCCGAAACTGCTGTATCTATTTGAACCAAAGCAATCTATTCGTCGCTCTCTTCTTACATTCAAGTCAGTGACCACAACGTCAACAGAAGCCGCTGAAACATTAAAGGCTAAACTTAAACATGAATGCATTCAAAGTGTGTACAGCCTATATTTAAAACAACGAAACTAGGTCTTCATCAGAGCACATGTTCTTCCTCTGCTCTCTCAAAAGCAAGGTTCAAATTGTGGTGGCATGCAACATTTTATGATTGCAATTCATTTAATTAAAGCCAGTGACTGCTGGGTTTCAGTTTACAAAGCTATGTGTGCAGCTTTTGCCCTGCGGCGTCTCTTGATTTATTCACCCTCTGCTCCCCAGTTGGTCAAACTCCAACCCATTTTGGTGAGCTGTCAACTCCGTAATGCCGTCAGAGTTTGACTTCAATCTGAAAAGCTGCCACTGGCCATTAATACATCTACAGCAAACAGGGAATCTGCACTCTGCCTCTCTGACATGTTCAACGGTTCTTTTGTGTCCTAACCATTGTTTCTGCTATATGGTTTTGCTGTTTCTAATGTAGTCCTGCTAACTGTTGGCCCACAGCAGAAAGCATGCACTAAACAAATAGGCAATCCTTAAACATCATAAACATCAGTGGCACACGCAGGGTCACAGACCAGAACAGGACTTTAAAGAAAATGTCAATTAAAATGTATTATTTGAATGTATAGCATTTCATCATTTGGCTGAAGTCAATGTTAAAGAAGTGCACTTAAACTGCTCTAGTGCAGCATGAATTGTTATTCTCGGTGTAGCTCTGCATGAAGCACGTCAATGATTTGATTGAATTAAAGCACAACACCGTCGTAAAACACCTTCATTCTGGACCACCTGCTAACACTAACTTCTTAAACCTAACCAAAGAGTGAAAACAGGCCCTGTGCTCCCTGTCTTCCTCTTGGATGTCAAACCCCCCCCCGAGCTCTCCAATCTGGCTGCAGGAATGTTTTCGGCTCTGTTGCACCCTGGGGAGACATTAAAAGGAAGCACGGAAAGCCACAGATTGTCCTTTTGCAAGACAAGCTCTCAACAAGGGTTCACTTGTGTTCACCGCCCTGCTAAGCATCTTACATCTCTGTCTCAAGATCATGTGTGGTGGGGTTTAGCCGGGGCTAGGGGTTTCTAGGAGTGGGTTTGGAGAAATAATCATAGGGCACGCACAAAGAATTAAACTGTGCAATTAGCCAATGATGGTGCTGGAAGTCAGGCCTCCTCTTCCTCTTTCCGCCGCAGAATAAAAGAGTGTTTTCTGTTTGTGCTGTGGTGGTCACGTTCTTCAAGCTAAGAGCATGAATTAGAAAAGGCATTTTTAGTTTTGGGCAGAGCTAGTTATTTCCACATGAGTCAAGGAATTTTGTGTTTCCTCAAAATGTTTTTTTATTCAGTTGTGAGGAACGGGCACATCATTTTCACAGTGGAGTGAATTTGAGTCTTTTTAGAGAGTAGGAAAACATTAGCCTTGCCAAATACTCTCGTCGTGGACAAAAAGGCCTTTTTCTCCTCGTCTACTTTATCCTGGATTCTGTTGTCATGGAAACACACAGTCTATCTGGCAAAGGCTGTGTGTTCTTGCAGGAGACTGTTAAAAATGTGCTGTCTCACTGCTGTTTGTGTGTTTTGGTGAAACAGTTTTCCTTTTTTTCGACTTGAGAACGTTTGTGCACATCTGTGTTTGTGTGCAAGAGATTTTCTCTGTGAAAAGTTTGTTTTTGGAAGCGTTTGTTTTCCACTTTCTGTTGCTTCTTCAACCTTTCCCTCTCTAATTAGGAATGATGAGGATCCATCACTCAGAGTTAACAGAATCAACAGATTATTACTAAAGCACAGATAAAGTACACATTTGTACATGTTTACCACAGTATAAGTGACAAGACAAATATCATTCCAGTTAAATTAAGTCAATATAACACATTTATTGTTACATTTCTCATCAATTATCTCCTAAATTCATTTATTATGTAGGTTTTGAATCAGTCAAGAGTTATGAAGGTTATGAAATCAAGCTGTTCAACTACATCAGTCAGTCAAGTCAGTCAAAGTAAACTTTATTGTCAACCTTTCAGTTTGTGTGTACAGACAGAGAGATCGAAATACCGTTTCCCACAATCCCGAATACAAAAATATATAACAATATGTATACAAATATGTCATATATACAAAATAACAGTCACTTCAATATTTTTGTGTATACATTATGAATCAGACAACAAAATTGTAATTCACAAGGACGCTAATTTCTTTTTGCAGAAAACCAAGTTGTAAGGTGTAATGTAATTCAGAACAGAGTTACTTGCATCCATGAGATGCTGTTTTTGTTGTTCTTCCTGCTCCTCCCTGCCCATCCTCAGTGTCCTGAGGACTTGCAACAATAAGCAACAGTTTGACCTTTGTGCTGAAGGTAGTGGCTCGCTCAGTGGACTCCATGCTGCTGTAAACTTCCTGTTATGTATCCTCCTTAGAAGCCCCCGCCTATGAACACACTCAGTTACACAATTTCATCAGACTTCTAAAAATACACTACTCATATCTTCCATCCTGTGACCTCTGCACCACATCTCTCTTTGTTTGTCCCCTCCAGGCGAGTGTGTTCTTCAGCGAGCTGTTATGGTGAGGAAGAAGCTCTCTGCCAGGGAAGGAAGAGGATGGGTGTCAGGGACCCTTTTCTGTACCCACTTCAGAGTGGCCTTCGTGCCCCAGGACAGCCCCAAACCTGACGTGAGTCCCTCTGAACAGCTGTACTTAAATAATTGTTGTTGTTGTTGTTGTTGTTGTTGTTGTTCAAAGGATGACATTGGAAAAACATTTTCATTTTAATAACTAACTCTTAATTCCTGATGCAGGACAATGCAGACCCAGTGCTTTTAGGAGATCATGATGTGGCGCTGGCGTCCATAGAGAAGGTTGTGGNCGATCTTTTGAAAATCACGTGATCGGCTCCGATCCCCGATCACGTGATCGGATCGGGACATCTCTACTTGAAACGTCTCAACTCAACCTCAGCAGTTAACGTTTCCACCCAAATGTAAAGTCACCTGGTGTAAAGTCAAGGACTATGTTGCATTTATCAGGAATTGGTAACTCTACAGTAAACATTTAGTAAGAGTTAGGAGACATGTTTGAGTGACGCCAAAAAGCTTCAAAACATTCTAGTTGCACTTTGTTCGTTTTCATTTCAAATATGTATTAGCTCGACACCCTCTTCCACCCACCTGTGGTACATCTTCCTCCAGAGTAACACTGATAAAGTTTTCGAACATGGCCACCATCGATGGAGCGGCGATCACATGGCAGTTGACCAAGTCAGACAGAAAACGCACCTACAAAGAGAAGATATCGTGTCAACAGAGAAAGCAAAAGAGATGTGAGGTCAACTTTATTGTCAATCTTTCAGTTTGTGTGTACAGACAGAGAGATCGAAATACCGTTTCCCACAATCCCGAATACAAAAATATATAACAATATGTACAAAAATATGTATATACCTATATATAAACAATCAGACACACGCATATGCACACATTAAGACATAAATAAAAGCACAACAATAGATATATACAAAATAACAGTCACAGTCGATGAATAAAAGTCAGCGTACCAAGTAAACAGCTTCGTTGTACAGGTTGTTTTTCAGAGTCTCCTTGAGTTGTCTGATCATGGCTTCCACAAACTCGCCCCCAAAGTTGTAGTTCCTGGCGTTCAGGAGGCCGACCAGAGTCGTGTACACAGACAGCTTCTCGGGGAGGAGGCGGGCGCTGTCACCCAAACACAACTCAGTGAGAAAAGACCACGCAAACAGTCAGCATTCAACAGTGAGCATGTGAGAAGTGGTGAGGAACTTACACGGCACATAAAATGCGCAGGATTTTGTTTTTGTAGTTTGGAAGGTCGGCCTCCAGGACACCTGCAAGCCCCTCCAAGTTGCTCTCCAGGGACGAAGTACTCTGTGAAGAACAAGTAAACAATTTGGTTTGTTTTTGCTGAACTATAGTGTTTTAAATGATATCAGAGCCTGTGAGGAGAAGAGAAGTGCTCTACATAGATCTGCAGGAGCTAGATTTCCCCGGTGGATGTTTTACCTTCTCCCCCACACGACATATCAGTGACTCCAGGCGATCTTCTATTTCAATGGGCTCCGACGTTCTCCTCCTTTTGTGTTCCTGACCTCCTGAAAGAGCAAAAGAACAACAAAATAATCGCAAAGTGAGTGGAAGACAAACAGGAACTGATAGAGTAACTCAATGGCAACCTTAATGGAAAATACACCGTAACACCATTAGATGTGTTTATGAAGCCAGGCTGTAAACACATTTCATGGTTAATATTAAATAGCTCAGATTTAAATTGATTCTATCAGGTTCTCCTTGCAATGAGTCATGAGGTTAAATATGACTGACCCTGAATTAGTAGGGACTACATATGGAGTTGATGATGATGGTGTTACAACTTGACAAGTATGTCTGTTATCTAGCAAACATGAATATATCCTTGCAATAAATGAAAGCAGTCATCCTTCAAAAGTAATTGGAATCTAAAAGTAACATAACCTTCTTTGATGTTGTACTTTTAAATAATTACAGTTCAGTTTTAAGGTGGATTTCCCCTTAACTGCTAATCAATAACTACCTTTAACTGGCCATGCGTCAGTGGTTTATGGATATTCTTGTGGATAGTAAAACAAAGCATCGGTACATGTAATATAAACTACTCTAAGTGAGGTATTTGTATTATTCACATCACTTGGTTGCCGCCCCCATACGAACCACACAGGTTAACATTAGCTAACCTAGCACCTAGTGCTAACATACACCGGTTAACACTAGTAAAACAAAAATCTTCTAGCTTTCAACCCGCTATACCGACACCACAAATCAACCCGTATTTACTGTGAGACATGTTAATGTTGCAATGAAAAGACTTAAACTTAAATTCGTGAAGTAATTAATAACCATAATTGCATCGAAGTGATTAAACACGCTAACGTTAGCTCGTTAGCACAACGTCTGATTGTGCTAGCTGTACACATGTAACAAACGGTCACTAACCGTCATTCTCGCTCTCGCTGTGTCGTCTCCTGGACATTTTGTTATTCCGTTTCACTATAAATGTAAGGAAATTCGACAAAAAAAGTATATGAAATAATAATGCAGCTTTGCAGGGCTTCTAGATCATTCAGCCTGGACGTTATTCGTGGAGCAGAAAAATACTAGCGGTCCGATTCAAGTGATGGACATCCGGGGCAACAGGAAGGTGCATCGTTTTGAATAACATATATATATTTTCCCTTTATTTTTCAAGAACATCATATATTTTGTATTCAAGAAAGTTGCCTTCAGGGGTAGACATATAGAACAAATATATTAAGGAATACAGTTTCATATTTCAGATTCATTACAGCCAAACAAATCACAGTCAGGACAGTTAAAAGGAGCACCGAGGAAGATGATGTGTTATCATATTATATAAGAAAAACAGAGTTAATACAAGATAATTTAACATTTTATTTTATTTATTCCGTCCTCCATAGATAATTCTGGTCCCCACTCCAATACAGTAGGTGGCAGTAAATGCACATAAAAGCTGTTTTTGTGAAACAACAGAAGAAGTTGAAGAAGGTGCACCGTCCTTTTTCGTCCGATGTCGATATTTACTAAAGCACGTTTGGTGACAGTTGTGTGTTTACAACCTATATAAAGGAATTTTAAGACGTTATATTTAATATTTTCCGACATCAATTAACATTGAATGTCCTGGTAATGCATAACTTCTACATGTAGAGAAGACATTTCTTATAACTTAGATTATAAGTGATTAGTAGATTGTTACAGATCCTAAAAACATGGCAGAGGATAATACATCTTTCTCAGAGTTCATGGACTTGGATCTTGACACTCGGACATGTAATGGAGTGAGACAGGAGAAACAGTTGTCTGCCTCACAGAGAAGAGGCTACAGCTTGTGCAGGAGGAAGGTGAGTAAACAACAAACAGCTGATTGATGTTGTTTGCTCTCAACACGTTGCAAGTTAGGTAAACACAGCTAGGATCATGTGTGTGATCAGAGAGCTTACATGTATAGTAACATATAGTTGCAGTGTTTGCAGAGGTGGGAAGTTACTAAGTATACTAACTAGAATACTGTACTTAAGATTACCTTTTTTTTGTTTTACTTATGGTGGGATTTCTGCAGGGATCCGTACCAAAATCCCAAGTGTTTTCTGAGGTGTGTTTATGTGAATATGATGTGTGGGTCAGGGCATCTGTGCAGCACATCGGTATTTTGACACATTTAGCCTATAACATTTATTACATCTCCTGAGATTTGTAAATTGTTATATGATATATTGTAAAATAATTGAGAAAATACGATTCTGCTACTCAAAATTATCTTTATTTTTTTATTGTGTCCCACATCAATGTTTCCCCCCATGTATGTGTATTACAACCTCATCAAAAGTGATATCTTCTCAGTTAAAATACGTAAATAAGGAATAAAACAAACCTTTTCAGAAGGGCACATCAGTCATGAATAAACCCCTTCAACTCACATTCGTCAATAGACATGGCATTCTATGAAAGGTCCCAATTAGGTTGGAAAGTTGAATTTTCCCCACAAATTAATTATAAGACATGTCAATACGGGGTGACGGGGTGGAAGTACAATAGTTTACTTGTCCTTAAAGTAACAAAAACTGGCCGAAGAAATTACGTCGTTGTTTGAAGTGGCCAGCAAGGGCAAATAATAGTACAGTTTTCTTATTGTAAGTTAGTTTAAACTTTGGCCGGGCAAACAGAGCTACGGTCTGGAAAAACTCTGTCATAAGCCGGACTTATAGGTTAATAGCCACGTCAAAGAGTAAAACTTACAGTTACTAAGAAATTACCAATACAGTGTGCCGAATTTTTGAGACAGCCACGAAGACCGATATCACGTTGTGTTTTGTTGTATAACTACGTTAACCGACACATCTTTGTATTGACATCATTACATACAGATTATTTTTTGTGTAGAGGTTGGAATCTGACTGGAATTTAGTAGGAAAAAGGGTAGAAAAACTTCTCTCCCACAACTAGCGCAATCGCAGCTACATTCGCAGCCAGCGGTACAAACCACGGAGGCTGACAAGGTAACTACGGAAGTCAACGGTGGGCAAGTGGACTCTTGCGCTTATATTAAAGTTTTCCTGCCAAGTTGACTCCATTTTAAGAAAAGAACATTTTAAGACAATCCATAAGATTTCCAAACTACCGTCCTAAATCCTCCTAACTTAGTGGAACGGTCCATTCACGTCGAAGAACAGTGTGTTTCGAGAGACGGTTCAGTGTCTACTTGTACACCTAGCCAGTAAAACTCTCATTGCCATTATCTCAATCTGGAACGGACCTGGAGACTTTTCTTTCTTATTGTTTCTCTGTCTATCTTTACACTATACCTGTACATGAATATACGCGACAACTAGGTCAGAAATTCTGGGGAAGTTTCGCGGAACATGATGATGGTACGAAGTAAGTGGGGTAAGTGTGGGAAGTATGTCTCGTCACATGGAATGAGACTTCTTGGATTTGTAAGGTAGTGTGTGAGTGTGTGGCAACCGGTAAGCCCCAATAATTCATAAGAGCGGGTTCCTATGTCAGCTGTACAACTGACGTACGCCGCCCTTAGCTTGGGATTGGGGTCTATAGTATAATATTTTTATGCAAAATTAGTTGTAAAAAATCTTAATGTTTACAATTGAACTAAAATCTACTTAAAAGTGAATCCCTTGTCTGTTGATATGGATCTGTCTCCTTAAGTTTTACACTAGTCATAAGACCTCGACGAGGAGTCTCTACACGAACCACAGTCCATAGGTCCGCTTTTTACAGGTGGACGAGCGGAGTGTGAGCAAGTCGACGACACAAAGTCGAAAAGAAGGTCAGAACCAAGTTGTCTGTGAACTATTCGCAGGACACACTCGGCGAGACATAAAGTCCCTAGTACTCAGGCCGGTGCACAAATCACTTACCGTCTGAACAAGAGATTCCAAGACTGGTGTCGTCGTGGTTCTCCTCAGGCGGGAGGGAGGACGTGGCGCCGCCCAGCGCAGACGACAAAGCGTGAGGAACCTCGCGGTGTCTCTTCGGCCGTTTTGCCTGACCACTTCCCCTTTTTTGCTCCACGA